ATTAGAATTTGAATTAGTATTATTATTTTGTAATTCACTTAAAGAAAGAGATTGAGTGGGTAGTTTTTCAATAATTTGGTGATGCTTTTTTTGTTCGGGGTCCTCGTCAGTTATATCAGTTATAATTGTATTATTATTATTATTATGCGTGATTATTAATTGACCCTCTTTTAAACTAATTTTTTTGATACTATTTTTGAGAAAATATTGAAGAATTTGCTGTTTTTCAGCGTCGGTTAATGGGTTGTTTTTGCCCTCTTGGCTATTATCCTTTTTTGGAGAATAAGTTTTCTTATCTGGTAAATCTGAATTAGAGCCAGAAGTGGGAGTGAAACCTATTTGGTGATTATCATAAGCCGAGATTGCTCCTTTTTTTCCGCCGCTATTAACTAAACTTCAAAAAGGTTCTATTCGCATTTTCAATAGTTCATTAGCAAGTTGTTGATTGTCCAAATTTTTTCAAAAGACTACCTGCCCCTTGCTTTGATTACTAGTGCTATATCTCTCTAAATCTTTGCGATTAATAACAATTTGCAGTTCTCCGCCACCGTCCACGTTAATGTTTTCCTCATCTCTTTTTCCTAGCCAAAGAAAAATATTGCCGTCAGTGTCATTGCCAGTTTTTATTCAGTGTTTAAGGCTGGTTTCAAAACCCAGAGAAGCAACCGATTTTTTAATTTCTGTCTCATTTTCTTTCTGGTAATCAACAATTATTTTAAAAATGTCCGCTATGCTTCAAGCGTTTAACATGCGACCAAGAAAAACTTTTTCTTCTCCCTTCTTTACTTCTTTGCCAGGTATTCTAAAAGGCACGCTGTCATTACCACAAGTTCGGGATATTTCCGGAAAAATTGCTTTCATTTGGTCTCAATAATCTGTCAATAAATCAAGCACTTCTCTGTGGCCCTCCAAAAAAATATCTACTTTTTGTTCGCCATTGCTAATAATAAATCCTTCTAAATTGTTTTTCTTACTTCAACCTTTCTCTTTTTCTCTCGTGGGTAGAGTTCAATATCTTTCTAGTAATTTTCACTCCCCGCCCGAATTTTTTCACTTTTCGGCTTCGGCAATTAATTCTTGTCCGTTATTGACTTTGATTTTTTGGATTTCAATATTTTTGTTTTATTTTTTATTCTTCATCATTTAGCAATACAAAAAAAATATGATAGTTTTATCGACCT